TTTCCAAGTTCGTTATCTCTTTTCAATTTTTGTCTACAAAGTGCTCGTACAAAATAATGCCAACTCTTCTGTGAATTGCTTCTCCGCAAGTTGTGAAATTCGATAGTGAAATTCCCCTGTGAAATTCACCAACACATGCGTACATACAGGGCTTCTATCTGTACTTATATACACCGACGATGCAGGAAACGTATTCCAACTTATAAATCACTCTGACACGTCGTGATCGAGGGAACTTACCCCAGCTTTTTCCATCTCCTATTTTCTCTACCCTATTTCTGCCATGTTTATGTATCTTTATCACTTTGTAGGGACCAAGATATTTTCCTTTTAACTTCAAGCCTACTCCATACTGACTACGCTTAATCGCAACCAATTCGTCTTATCTTGTATTGCTTTACTACCTTTGTTTGTTTACTTTCTTAATTTTCGACGATGTGGGCGCCCAATAGGTAAATTAATTCGCTCTTTGATTTTCTTAATATTTCGGGTATACCCCACACCTGATTTGTAAAATACAAACGGCCGTTGGCTTTATTTTTTCGATTCTCTTCCGTTCCATACAGCTCCGATTTCAGAATTGAATTCATTTTTATTCTTCTTCTTGTTTTGCTCGAAGTATTGATATCATCAGCGATAAGCATATTGCACTAAGTTGTCTTATCATATCATATAATATGGTTACTTTGATTACATTTAAATTTACATTCGATTGGTTGTCGATCTTACACCATTAAACGTTTTAATGATACCTTGTACTCGTTTCTCATGACTGCGATCGTCTTCATCACCCAGCGAGGCCGGATAGGCCTCCCTGGTTTTCAAATAAACTTATGAGGTTAACAAACGTGAAGTCGAGGTTTATGAAATCGGGAAATCATTCTGAGATCTCCCGTTATGCAGTTGCCCAATCGATTTTTTCCACTCAAAATTCCATCTGTTATAAGGATTACCTTCGGCATTGTCGCCTTCAATTCTTAACATAATCCCAAGTATTGCGGGACGAATTAAGTTATCGATTGTTTAGTATTAAGTATATTCTGAAAGTATGTATTTTTGCCCTATGAATGTACGGGCACACTGTATTTATGCTTATTGCCGCTATTACTTATATGTTAAACTCATTATTGTCGCAGGAGTAAAGACTGCGGTAAGATTCTGAGGGAATATATATCTAAATTCTAACCTATGTAATCCGTTTCGAATAAAACACTTGCACTAGAGCACGTTTTGCATTACGCTGTCTCTATTTACATCGGAGTAACATGGCCGCAGGCCAGGCGTAAGCCTTGCAGTGTTCAAGTTGCAACTCCACCTTCGTTTGGCACGCGACATGATCCTTTTATTCGCAGTTCTTATTGTAAGAATAAGACCCCACCTCACGATGGCCAGAAGATAGATACCACGGCGAGTGTGACGCAGCCGAAGTGAACAAGTTGAATGGTGAGCTATGTATCACAAATGCAATTTCCCGCTGTTAGTGCACCACAAAGCCCCAGCACCGTGGATGTGGGCACAACTGTTCAACCTGCCGACACTGTGGTCGCGGGAGTGAGTGCACGAGCCAGCACATTGACAGGTGGGCCAAGCCCAAGCACTCAACTCTTAAGAACGCAAGTCATGGACTTGCTAAAGAGTCGCTGCGCTACAACTGTACGAATCTGGAGAATAACCAGCTATTGTTGAAGGCACTCAAAGGCGAAGCACATGACACTGTGAAGTCGTTGCTAATACATCCCAGGAATGTGAACAACGTAATAAAACAATTACGTTTCAGATACGGCCGGCCAGAACAGCTAATACTCAACCAGCTAGTTAGTATTCAAGAGGTGCAGAGGTGCTTCAGGAGCACAGCATAGCTATAATCGTGCCATATGCTACATGCGTGAGTAACCTTGCCGCGTTTCTACAATCGTTTAACGGGGAACAGCACTTAGCGAATCCTACACGGATGGAGGATTTGGTGGCTAAACTACCTCCAAGCAAGAGGATTGAATGGGCCAGACATGCAAGTAAGATTAGGCCTTCCCCGACGGTCGTACATTTTAGCGCGTGGTTAACGGACTACGCCAATGTGGTATGCACGATTGTGGACGTCGATAGTAAGGAGCAAAGGCGTAGAGTGCTGCATGCCAGCATTGACCATAATAATGAAAGGCTTCAACGAGGTCGCACCAAACAGTGTCCAATCTGTAATGGACAACACGCAGTCAGGGACTGCAACGACTTAACTTAACTCTCCGCTAAAAAGGTGGACAACGAATGCCAAGTTAATGGATGCCGGAAGAGACATCATCGACATTTACATGATCATGATGCTATGAGTCACAATGCACCGCAGCCAGCAGGTGATAGAGTAATGAATACTGGACGGATGCCGCAGCCAGCGGATCCTCACACAAGGGCACCGCAGCCAGTGGTTGCTCAATTGAGGCAACAAAGGAACTTAAGTTGTGCCGATTCGGATAAAAAACGCATACTATTCCGCATATTGCCAGTGACATTGCACGGGGCCAATAAGTAGATCGATACGTACGCGCTCCTCGACGAGGGCTCGTCTGTAACGATGATCGACGACGAGCTACAGAGCGATCTAGATATCAAAGGGGAACGTAGGCAACTAAATATACAGTGGTTTGGTGGAAGAACAACCAGAGAGCCGACCACAGTGGTAAGCATGGAAGTTAGTGGAGCGGACAACCTGAGCTTATCAATGCAAAGCCTGCATCAACGTGACGTCCAAATGTGGGAGCCTGATGTTTATGAGATGAGGGTAATGAAGTTTGGAGCAGCATGTTCGCCAAGCGCAGCACACTATGTGAAGACCTTGATTTCAGGATTCAGATCCTCTCGCGGCTTAAGCTATTCTTGAATGCCACTATGTGGACGACTATGTGGATAGTTTTAATAGTGAAGACGAAGCCATCACCATATCACAGTATAGCGATCAGCGACGCTATATTGTGGACTGACTCCAAAACATTGGTGCGTTGGATAGGCAGCACCCACCGTCGATATAAGCAGTTCATCGGAAATCTAGTGGAAGAAATTTTGGAGTCAACAAAGGTTTCCCAATGGAGATGGGTTCCTGCTGCTGAAAATGTAGCAGGCGACGGAAACCAGCTGGCCGCAGTCCAAAACGGGCACGGAACACTCACCCTACGAATATGAAGAAGAGATGCCGAGTGAATTTGCCTTAGTTGCAGCAAATAATAATAATTTCAGAGATTCTCTAGCTACAGTCGGCTGATGAAGACGACGGCTTGGGATTTCAGGTTCACGCGCTGGAGCCGTGGACAGACGACTGAGCTTGAGAGATTCGGCGTCACCGCGACGGGGTGTGAGAACTAATAATCTTGTCACAGCGGCACGCACTGACGGAACTGATTGTGTGTCAACACCATGTGAAAATGAACCATCAAAACGTGGATGCAACGATAGGCGACATCAGGACCAGGTTTTGGGTAACAAAGCTGCGTCGACTGTTGCGTACAGTAATATCTGGATGTAGTGTGTGCAAACCTACATAGAGCGCAGCCAGCGCCACCTATAATGGGTCCTTTTCCAGAGAACAGACCGGAGGCCAATGGATGGCCATTTAAGTTTACGGGTCTGGACTATTTAGGACCACTCCTTGTAACGGTCGGACGTCGAAAGGAAAAAAGATGGGTCGCCTTGTTTACGTGTCTGACAACAAGGGTCATACATTTGGAGCTGGCACATGACCTATCAACTGATTCCTGCATAATCGTAATCAGGAATTTTCTTTGCCGTCGCGGCCCCGTAATGAGGTTGCGTAGTGACAACGGAAAGAACTTTGTAGGGGCCAACAAAGAAGCTAAAAGGCTAATAGATGTATTTGAGCCGGTGAAGATTAAGGGTGAGCTATCTTCAATGGATCTTCAACTGCCCAGCATGCCCAGCTGAAGGGGGAACATGGGAAAGGATGGTGCAGTGTGTCAAGAGAGTGCTACGCCACACAGTAAAGGAAGTGGCACCAAAGCAACACGTACTGGAGAGTTTCCTGATTGAATTCTCGCCCGCTTACCCACTTGCCGGTGTCTGTGGACCAAGAAGCCCCCCTAACACCGAACGATCTACTCAAAGGAGTGGCCAATCTGCCTGACACGCCCGCTATCCACGAGCAGCCGAACGAGAGATGCGTCACGAGGAAGCAGTGGCGCATGGCGCGGCTGTTACGAGACCGTTTTTGGAAGCGGTGGGTCTTAGAGTACCTGCCTACACTTGTGCGACGCGTGAAATGGTGTACGCGCGTTGAGCCGATACGCCATGGTGATATGGTGTTTATATGCGACCCGGCCGTGCCACGCAGAGAGTGGCGAAGGGGCATAGTGGAGGAGCTCTACCCTGGACCAGATGGAGTGCCTCGACGCGCTTGCGTCTGCGTGGCGGAGAACTATCGAGTGCGATGATGACTCGTCCCGTGGCTAAACTAGCCGTACTGGATGTGGGTGAAGTAGGGCCTTCACGGGGGCGGGGATGTTGCGGGACGAATTAATTATGCCCTCTGAATGTACGGTTACACTGTATTTGGCTTGTTGCCGCCATTACTTAAATGTTAAGCTCATTATTGTCGTGAGTTCGTAGGCCGTAGATGGAAAGACTGCGGTAAGATTCTGAAGGAATATATATCTAAATTCTAACCTATGTAATCCGTTTCGAGTAAAACACTTGCACTAGCACGTTTTGCATTACGGTGTCTCTATTAACATCGGAGTAACATGGCCGGGGGCCAGGCGCAAACCCTGCAGTGTTCAATGGCAAGTAGCAGCTAAAAAATTATTGTCACAACGATTTTTACGCGATGCCAACGCTGCACACATTTGTAATGTGGACTCCTTTCACATAATATGGAAAAGGATAGTACTAGCAATAGGCTAAAATTATACAGAAATATTTAAAATGGATATATTAATTATTAAAGGTCTATTATTAAAGGTCTACAATGTCTTAGTATACGAGATATGTATTATACGCACATTGCAGCAATATGAGGTGCCTCCTTCATGACTTCATCGATGCAAATAGGCAAAGGAAATATTGTGCGGTTTATCACTAGTCCTTTCATTTGAGCTATACCATTTCGCATCTCTTGAGACTCAGTTTTCATATCATTTACAATTACTCGTGTCCATCCTTCTTGATTTACAGTGTTGTTCAGCAACGGAAAGAATACATCATCGCATAGTACAGATAGATTTGCAAGTGCATTAGGCAGTAAATCACCTATCATGAGAGACTTTACAAAAATTATGGTTATAGGAACCATAAGGATTTGAATGCAAAACAAACCTGTAACATGTTATCTTCAGTAAGCTCCAAAGGTGTAAGAATGCGAATAAAATAGGCCACTTTTGCGTATATCTTCACAGGAAAATTAAATGTGGGGTAGAGTTGTCCGGATGAATTTACGCTAAATATCAATCTCGGCTTAAAGGGATTGTTTAAAAATTCTTTTATTAAATCCTGTAAAAGAGCAGATAAAAAATATTTAAATTTTTCATTTATACTACTTATACAAAGTGTCGATGATCGAGATTGGCCAACTATAAAAATGAGTGTAGCAACTCTGTAAACCTTTTTATACCCTAAGCCCATTTAAAATGGGTTGTATTTGTGTAAAATCCAAATGTATGTAACAGGCAGAAGGAAGGAAGCATCTCCGACCCCATAAAGTATATATATTTTTGATCAGCATCAATAGCCATGTCCGTCTGTCTGTCCGTCTGTCCGTCTGTCCGTATGTATGAAATTTTAGATGTTGGTCCTCCTAGTGCATGCGCAGATCGAGTTTGTTTCCGATAATCGATAACTTTATCCGTTTCCAAGCAATCTATAAAAATCAATATCGCTATTTTGTCTTTAGGGTAATTTTGGTATATAATAAGATCTAGAGTCACTAAACATGATATGTTGCTTCTAGAAAATTATAGATAAATGATATTACTCTAATATTTCACCATTCCAGAATGTGCTACTTAAACGTAGAACAAGCAAACCCAATTTCTCCATTTTTTATTTTCACTATGCATCTCATATATATGCAAAATCTAATATTTTACCATTAAAGAGCATAGAGAAATTCAATCATCTGATCTCATGTTTCCTTGGTAATGCTCTAGCGCATTTCAGTGGCACAATTATTTTTAAGCATTGGAAAGCCAAGAGACTATCCGACAATAGGGGTCGAATATTTAATGAAAATATTTCGGCTCCCTTTAGCCTGCCAAAAATAACGCAACCTTCTGTGGCATCATTGGCACGCTCTTGGCAATTGATGATAAAAAACAGAATTTGTACGCGATTCTCATTCACCTCGCTATGAACAAAATTATCCAAATGGGAGGAACAACTCGATTATGCAATCATTCCACTATAGAGTGATTGTGAAACATCCTTGAATCGGAGATATCCACAAACAATAATCGAGGTACATTTAATTGTTCTGTGGATAATGACAGAAACGATTAAGTGACCCCAAAATGTTTATATGGTGGTTCCGAAGGCATTTGATATGGATCAGCATATGCCGCGTTATCAGTACAGCAGCGGTTGGAATCCGATAGGACGGCTAAGAGGCGCCAATTGTCTCCAAAAGGCACACTGTTGCCAAATGTAAGGCAAACAAGTGCAGAATATGCAGTACATAGGCAATCTGCCGTTTTCAACACTATCGTTACCACCACCCGTTGACTTCGCACAGGATCAACCATCGACTTCACATCCTATGCATGCGAATGTGTCTGATAGAGCTTCGGCTTCAAAAGTTACAGTGGAATGAATCGTTGCGCTCATGAAGTCAACCCTTTCAAATTCTTGCATGCACTTACTAACCGCTTTGGAGATTCCTACATATAATTTGGTATTTGTGCGACTTGTGCTTCTACAATTTCCCCCTTCTTGCCTTCACTCTCCACCACTGTAAATTATGCCGTTGTCAGAGACCAAGTGCTTCATATAAGTGTAGTACACGCATACATATACACGTATAAAACCAGCCAGACGCAGCCTATTTATTTTTTGTTCCGCTTTGTGCTAAGCGGTGGCTGTGCAATTGTTTTTGTACACCTTTTTCCTTGGTGCGTTCCGGTCAAGAGACGCTCGCATCCCTACGCTATTTTTGATTTATATAAGTTTTTGAATTCGTTTGGCAAATTCGATTTAATTTAAATTAATAATTATTAAATCAAATTTTGAGTCAAATATGGCAACCAAGGAGAGTTTGACGACTAAAAAAAATAACGCAATATGTCCATTTCTAGCATAGTGCGTTTCAATGATCAAATAATAAAGGGTAAATTTACCCTAGAGTCTACAGAGTTAGAATATAGATTAGAAATGCTGGCGGCATTATACATACAACGTTCAAAGAATAACAACTTTGTATAACGACAAAGGTTCGTCTAAGGTCCGTTCTCAAGACATTGAGTCCTGCATCGCCTAACGGCTCGTCCCAAGTTTAATGGAAAATACTGCGAGCTTAAGAATTTTATTAGCCAGTTCGAAATCATCGTTCATAACTATCATGCGATCCCGAGTATAGAGAAATTCAATCATCTGAGATCATGTCTCTCTGGTGAAGCTCTAGGCACTGCTAGAGCGTTTCAAGTCACCGAGGAAAATTATTTTAAGCATTAGACAGCCTTAAGAGAGTATACGACAAATATGTGCACAATAAGCAGTCCTTCATGTTATGAAACACACTGCTGCATAGATGCCCTACGTTCCTAGCTGTTACCACCACCCCTTGACTCCGCAGAGGATTAACCAGTAACTTCACATGCTATACATGAGAATAAGTCTGACAGTGTAATCCTGGTTGTGCTAGCACAACGATTGCAGCTGCGCAGAGAAGAGGCTAGTATCAACTTACTTGGGATTGCTCAATGCAATACTCAAGTGAAGTCGTGAGTTCTCGTTAGATATATGGATTTTGAAGACCATTTCGGGTTACCAGCCTGACTGGTCAATGTCAGTGGTTGGAAAATGCCTGAGAACCTGCAATTGGCCGATCCATATTTCCATAAGCTACAGAAGATCGACATGCTCATTGGCGCTGAGGCGTTTCTTGAGCTTCTGTCTGTCGGTCAGATTAAAAAATGTCCGAATTGTCCGATTCTGCAAAAGACACTTGGATGGTTTGTATCAGGATGTTACATGCCGTTAAGCCAGAAGAGAATTATACCTAGATAGACAAGACATTGCGGAAATGTCATTGGAAGAGTTGCCTTCAGCTAACAAGGTCCGAACAGTTGAGCAGCAGTTATGTGAGAACCACTTTCAAGGTAATTTGAAATCCCGTCAGATCAATTTAAAGTGAGACTGACATTTAAATCAGATCTCAATTAACTTGGTTGCTCCTTCGAGGTTGCTAAGCGTCGTTTTTTTCACTTGAAAGACGCTTGTCTCGAGATCCCGCGCTTAAGCGCATGTACTTGGAATTCATGGAGGATTATTTAAATTTATGTCACATCTGGAATAGATGATCAGATTTCAAGTACTCCACCTTCATTCTTCATCAGTGTTTTTAACGACTACAAAGCACATCGACAAAGTCCTGCCGGTCATTGTTTCAAATTGCGTCGAATGACCTTCTAATGGTTGGACCGAACATTCAAGAAGAACTGTACTCGACTCTGCTTCGATTTCGACTCTACAAATAAGCGCTTACAGCTGACATCAAAAAGATGTATTGGCAGGTCATCGTGCACTAAGTAGATCGAGATTACCAGCTCGTAGTGTGGAGAAAGAACTCATCTGACTCTGAGGTCTTTCAGGTTAAACACCGTAACCTGCCCCGTTTTTGTCAATACGGGGTTTAACAAAACTGAGCTTTTAGACAATTAAGTTAGAAGTGTCGCAAATACTCCAAAACGCATGTTTCGAACTAACTAAATGGTTTTCGAATTCTCCTGAGTTATCCACAACAAACGCAGCTTAGCCGATAACTATCTAAGAGTCTGATACAACCAAAATACTAGGAAGAATGAAGATTCTGTAACAAATAACAAAGAACGTGAAGGTGCCGTTCTGCATGGTGTTTAAGAATGTCTATTTCCGTTTTAAGATTCATGCTTAACCTATGTGTACATGAATATAATTATACTGTTATTGTACAGCTACAAAGAGAGAGAGAGAGAGAGAGAGAGAGAGAGAGAGAGAGAGAGAGAGAGAGAAAGAGAGTGAGCATGCATATGCCTGTGCTAGTTGCTGTCCCCTCGGGATCACAAGATTTCACAATTAGGAATTACACGCTGGTCCAGTATATGCCAATTGCTGGAACACCGTATTCAGAGTGGTTGGAATGAACTGTCTAAGATACATAGCTACGTTTATGTGTTGTCGCACCTGCATTACTGACTGCGGTGACGCTATTTGATCGGCTTCAATTATCCTAGACTTTTATTCAAAAAAAGGCGGTTTGTAATGTCAACGGAAAGCGCAGCTATGTAAAAATATAAGATCGCTTTCAGCCTTTCATGCCTCTTTCCTAACAGTTAGGGATCTAGGCGTTATTTTTGATTCTAAACTCAGTTTCAATCTTCGCATAGATACCATTGTTAATGAGGCAAAAGGTGTACTTGGATTTATTAAACGATGGTCTAAAGAGTTCAACGATCCTTTTATAAAAAAACTTCTGTACATCTCACTTTTTCGCCCCATCCTTGAATACTGCTCTTGCATCTGGTCTCCACAGTATAACAATAGCCAGGATCGTTTTGAATCTGTTCAGAAACAATTTTTGCTTTTTGCCTTACGAGGCTTAAATTGGGACCCTAATCTTCGGTTGCCATCCTACTCCAGCAGACTGCTTCTTCTCAACCTTCCGTCGTTAACCAACCGTAGGACAATTCTCGGTGTTGTCCTTCTACATAAGTTGATTATTGGCGACAATAATCTGCTAGTGCGTCTTCAATTCTCTGTTCCGGCTAGACCAACCAGAAATTATCGCCCCTTATTACTATCTACGTGCACAATAGACTACGCTATGCACAATCCTTTTCGCGTGCAATGTAAAAATTATAAAAGTTTGCATCACGTTTTCTCTACCGAACTGTCTCTATCCCTAATAAAATCGTTGCTTTCAGGATACCTTCGGGAAGTCACTGACCATTCCCAGCTATGAGCAGGGGCATAGCTTGCCGGACAGGCTGAAAAATTTTCCACCACCGGGTCGATGATTTCCCATTACTTTTCTCTTTGTGCTATCTACTTAACACTCTTTATCTAACTTACATTGCTTTAGTTTATTAACAATCTTCTTATTTTCTTTTTTTCCTATTTATTGTATTTTCTTTATTAATATAGCAAATTAATATTATTTTTAATTTTACTTGATCACTTTTTTCCTACTTACAACCTTCTGCTTAGATGTAGGCTCTAATAGCGTCACTGACAAAATTAGCTGTGAAAAGGGGCACAGCTGGCCGGACTGGCAAATAAAACACCTCCATCGGTCGGTGATG